TTTAGATATCCATAATGGAACCTAACAGTGGTCAACCACTGTTAGGTTCCTTTTATCACCCAGTCATCGCAGGAGTCTGCAGGTAAGGTGCACATAGGCATCACACTTGCCAAAAAAACACTAGGCATTGCGCAGTACAAAGCCCAAAAGCTAACCAGCTTTGAAAGTCAGGTGTCCAAGTTTTACTTGTAGTACAGACAGGCAGTGCTGATGCGCAGCCATTTGGCCAAAACCCTAGATACAAAGCAAAACCCCAGAAACGAGGAACCAAAAATCAAGGAGAACCAGCAGATGCAAGTGAATGACCCGGAGGAGGACCCCGCTATTCCGTCTTCTTCGTCTACCACAAGTGAGGAGCTGCTTCCAGATGATGATGATGGACAGCCAAATGGACGAGATGGCAACAACGAGAAGGAGGATGACGACTTCTTCATCGCCGTCACTGTGGGCTGCGATGAGCAGGACTACAACTGGCTGGCAAAGCACCGGCGCAAGGGCGCAGTATGGCTGAGCAAGAAGATGAGCGAGAAGTCGAAAGAGGTAGATTGGAAGAGACTTCCACTTTCAGAGAAGAAGGAGTTCGACGTTGCTCAGGCCAAGGAGATCAGCAATGTCATCATCAGCAAAGCTCTGAGAAACCTCACCAAAGCTGAGCTGGACAAGCTGGACGAGAACAAAGTAATGTCCATGCGGTGGGTCTTGACAAGGAAGACTGATGGAACAGCAAAGGCACGCCTAGTCATTTTGGGCTTCATGGCGCACAACCTGACCGAAGTGGCGACGGCAAGCCCAACACTTTCAAAGGTGGGACGAAACCTTGTGCTCACCCTGTCCTCCAACCTGAAGTTTGTGGTTCGTGGCGGAGACGTCACATCAGCATTTCTTCAAACGGGGATATCCCTGGAAGATGAGGAGTTGACGATTTGGGCACCGCCCGAACTGGCCGCTATCTTTGGAGCCGAGTATGGTGAGCAGAAAGCTCTTCGAGTTTGTGAAGCTTTCTATGGCTTGGTCCATGCACCGCGCAAGTGGTATGAGCGCTGTGTACAGGTGATGAAATCTCTTGGATGGCGACAGCTTCAAGGTGACAAATGTGTCTACGTGCTCCTGGACCCCGAGACTGGCAAGATTTGTGGACTGGCTGGATTGCATGTGGATGACTTCTTGCTGTCCGGCGACCCCAATTCCACTTTCTTCGATAGTGCCCAAGCAGCCTTGCTGAAAGCATTCAGATGGGGCAAATGGGAGACTGAGGAGTTCACTTTTGCTGGATGCCGCATCCGACAAGCTGAAGATTTCAGCATCACCTTGGACCAGGAGGACTACACCAACAAGTGGATTGAAGAGATCAAGATCGACGCCACCCGATCTCCACGAGCTCTACTACTTCCTGCCGAAGTATCAGCTTTGAGAGGAGCCCTTGGAACAATCAGCTGGAGGGCGACGCAAACAGCGCCCCAGTACCTGGCTGACACCAGCCTACTTCTTTCAGAAGTTTCCAAAGGCACCGTGGAGACGCTCTACAAGGTGAACAAGCTGATCAGAGAGATGCGAGCCAACGCATCGCAGGGACTGCTATTCCCTAGCTGGGGGAAAGAGATCAAGGAGCTGGCAGTGATCGTATGGGCCGATGCTTCACAGCACAACAGGCCCGACAAGTCTTCAACCATTGGCATCCTGGCCGGCATCGGACCCCGTGAGATGATCGATGGTGAAGAGCACCAACTTGCCATTGTTCAATGGAAATCTGGGAAAACACCCAGACAATGTTTAGGCTCAAACGGAGCTGAAGTCCAAGCCGTGACAATTGGCGAGGACATTTGCTGGAATCTACGACTTTACTTGCTGAACTAGCTGGAGAAGAAGTTCGGAGGGACAACCTGCATGAGATTACAACCTGCATGAGATTGTCAAAGTGATCGATGGCGCCGTGGTCATGGACACACGTGGCATCTATGATGCGATCACTCGCAACCTCAGCCCTCTTCATGGACTTCGCGAAGCCAGAGCTGGATACGAGCTGACTTTAGCGGTGAACCAGGGCATCCAATCAGGTGTCCAATTCCGCTGGGTCAATGGGTTAGCCCAACTGGCTGACGCAATGACGAAGGCCTCCAACCGCAAGATCCTGTTGCACCTCTTTGGACAAAAGCAACACTGGAGACTGGTGCACGATGAGAAGTTCGAATCAGGAAGACGCGTGCACAAGAAGGAGTTGGAGAAGCGACTGAAGGAAATGCAGAATAACTTCGTGGCCTTCGTAAAGAATTTGGCCGAAACGAAGAATTTCCCATGGACTGAAGACAGTCCGCCTCGGTACAACCCACTGTCCTGACAAAAGGATTCAGGAAGTTGGGGTGATGCAAGAACCGAGATGCATGTAGCACATGTGAACCCTTTTGCACTGACAGGTAACTTGCCCCTGACCATAGGGTGGGGCTCGAGCGACATAGCCCGCATGTAAAAGGTGCTGACCGCACCGACTGCTGTGACCCGGTTGTCACTTCCCTTGACCTCGTGCACATGGTATATAATGGAAAACCCTCTTAAAATGGATGATTTCGGAGTACCCCTATTTTAGGAAACTTCCAAATGATGAACAAGGATGATAAACCATGAATTTTGGCTTGTCACATTTATGTTTCGACAAACTCAAAATGGTGATGCAAGAAGAACATCGCTTGTTTTGTGGTGATGAAATGTGATGAATCTTTCTTCGACTTTCTCTTTCCCACTCAATGCCATGACATTGAACAACATGCAAACAAGTGAGGGGGTAATGTCAACTGTCAATTAATTTTCAGTTGATTCATAAGTTGATGAAACAGGATGAACAATAATGCAACATGGTGAAACATGATGAAACCTGTTTGCTTCACTTCTGGGGTCACCATTTTGGTAGCTGATCACAATTTGCGAACGCAGGCGCTTCAGCATCTGGACATGTGCTACAACCAGATCTATGACCGAGGACGGAAGCGAAGATACGGAAGAAACAGCACAGTTTGGGCAAATTATGGGATTTTGGTGGATTCAGATGGCGCTGGCAATCATCTGGAAAATGGATGAACATGGTTCCCTTTATGTCGGCAAAACAAGGCAACTATGGTGTTCAGCGGACAGCATCTTGATCCATCCGGGGATTGAGCGATCAGTTTTCCCAGAAATCCATGACATCCCACATTAAAATTGGTCGCGATGTATCGCGGAGCTTAATAAGACAAATCAGACGGACACCTTCTCCCGACACCAGCCCTCGCCCTTGTTCTGTATTGAGAAATCCTTCGTTCATCTCTATGTCATTCTATGTCTATACTACAATAATATATGTATATAAATTATATAAAGTAAAAGGTGTCAATGTATTAATAGGATTTAATCACCATACGTCTCCCAGCATTAAACACACCTGTTGAAGGCCCCATGGCCACTGCGGGGCACCACAGGTGGTTTCGCCCTGGCTGAAGCCTTGAAGCACAACCGCACACTGCAAGACCTGCTGCTGCGCACCAACCAGCTGGGAGATGCAGGTGAGACATGGTGAGACGCCTTCTGGGCAAATGTGGTGACTGGTTCATCAGATATTTTTGGTGAGATTTTTGGTGAGACATATGTAGAAACCATTTGAACAGGGCCCCTGGGCGATGGCTGCAGGTTGTCAGAGAGATCAGAGAGATCAGAGAGTAGTCTTCCAGTTTGTCAGTTTCGGGTCAGCCAAATTATTCCACATGCCTTGAATTGTGTGCATGACGGACATCCTTTGGTTGCCATGTGAACTCTTGCCCGGCTGCAATGACAGGTGTATCTGCTCTAGCCGAGTCGCTGCAGAAGAATCGTACTTTGCAGTACCTGGCATTGGACAACAACCAAATCTCCCAGCCACCTGGCCGTTCCCCGTGTGGATCCTGTGGATCCTGAGTGTTTCCTGGGATCAAAGTCCAGCGGTGTCATTCCATGGCCCCACTGAACGGCGAGGTTGGGCGTGGCAGCGTTGGCAAAGACCTTGCACAAGAACCGGGTCATGCAGCAGTTGCTGGTCTTGCACCCTGGAAATTTGTTGTTTTCCGAAGCAGGGAACCCCAAACTAAGAGATTGGAGTCAAAATATCTTTATATGTTGGTATTCAGTTTGAAATGTGTTTCTTCATCCCGGCTTTGACACCAACCCATGTGTGAAAACCAGATGTATGACAGTAAAAGTTGCACATGTTCTTTCAAACATATCCCAACAGGTTCATACATACATACATTTACATACATTTACATACATTTACATACATTTACATACATTTACATACATTTACATACATTTACATACATTTACATACATTTGCATACATTTACATACATTTACATACATTTACATACATTTACATACATTTACATACATACGTACTTACGTACAGACAGACAGACAGACCGACAGACGGACCGACTAACAGACAGACAGACAGCCAGGCATGCATGCATGCATGCATGCATGCATGCATACATACACACATACATACATACATACATACATACATACATACATACATACATACATACATACATACATACATACATACATACATACATACATACATGACATACATACATGACATACATACATGACATACATACATGACATACATACATACATACATACATACATACATACATACATACATACATACATACATACATACATACATACATGAATACATGAATACATGATATATTATATTTATATATTCCCATATATTTTCCCATAATATATTGCCATATATAATATGTTTGAGTATATATTGCAGCTTCAACATCCTTCAAGCCTTTTGCAGTTGGGAAAGCAGCCAGGTTGTCCCTGGATTTGAATTGCATGAAGGATCAAGGCTGGGCATCGATACGGTAGGGGCCTGCTCCACCTTTTCGATGGGAGGATGGTTCAAAATCAATGACTACTATATAGTTACCCTCTGGTTATTTAACATAGCCATGGAAAATGGCCCATTTATAGATGGTTTACCTATTAAAAATGGTGATTTTCCATGGCTGTTAAATAACCAGATGGTATATAGTTACTATATAGTTCTTGGAAGGGGGGAACCAGGGTGATACAAAAAACCAGAGTCTGTTGAGGATTTTTTGAATCGGTTTTTCCACCAGAAAGCACCTGGAGTGACCTGAAATTCTCAGGTGCAGCCCAGCTTGCGCAAGCATTGACACACAATCGCAGTGACTCAGCAGAGTGAGCATTTGGAGGATGTACCGGGATGTACCGGGACCGGGTAGTTATCTGGAGAAGTTGCTGCACACATTATAATCTGAAAACAGCAAATCAGGATTTCACATGTTTTCATATTTTATATATCTGACTTAATTTTAGAATATGTTGAGCCCACACACCAACGTTGGCACACCGCCACTACAGCCCTGGTGTCGAGGTCTGTTGATCTTGCGGGTGTGTTCCAACGAGATCGGAGAGGAAGGTGCTGATGATTAGATGCTACCACGCTTAGCATATAGCATATCTCAGTCCAAGTATAGTGTGGTATGGTATGTATGGAATGTATGGTATGTAACATGGTATAGTATTGTAAATAACGAAGACAGGACCATAGACACGGGTACCAATGATGTAGTGAGCATCAACGGTCCATAACATAAGTGATTCCATGGTAACGGTAACCCATGAAAACCCCGAATAATATACCACGAGTTTTGGATGCTTTTCAATACCCACAAGAGTCTCTGGTGATATTGTGGATAGTTTTTTGTTGGGTTTACCTCATGATATCCCATTTAGATAGATGATTTTCCCATCAAAACCTCCATTTATAATGGATTTTCCATAGCTATGTTAGTCATAACCAGATGGTATATCAAATTATTTAATTATATATCGCAATATCCCAATTAATATCCCAACAAAAATCCCCATGACATGGTTCAATCCCCGGTGTCTTCTCCAGGTGCTGTGGCATTGGCAGATGCCTTGCGGCAGAATTGCAGCCTACAGCATTTGGCCGCCAGTTTCATGGCCAAAGTTGCTGATGGATGAGAAATCGCATGAACATCGTGGACGATTTTGGATGGGTTTTCATCTCTCAATGTGCACATCCGCTGGTTGGTGGTTTCAGACATGTTTTTTTTTCTCCATCACATTTGGGATGATCATCCTCATGAATTTGCACCATATTTTCAGGATTTGAAACCAGCCATCAGTCCTCAATCCCAGAATTCGTTGGGACAATTTGCAGGACACCCCGGAGGTGGATTACTGGTTTCCTTCAACTTTTCACTAAAATAAAGCAATGTTTTTTTTTTACCCGTAAGATATACTGTAGTTGAATCCCATGAGTTATCCCATCAGTTATACCATTAGTTATCCAGCTGGTTATATCCCATTATATATATATATATATATCCCATCAGTTAAACCATAACTGATGGGATAACAGAAGGACCGATATATCACCTATATCCCTAAATGATCTAAATGAGTGAAATCGTATTAGTTATAGTGTGTATATATATATATATCAAACATATTCAAATATATATATATATATATACATATATATATATATAAATACTATCAGATCCAGTCCTCAGGTTCCAACGACTTCGGCCAGCACGGTGCCACGGCGCTGGGCAGCGCCCTTCGGGAGAACCGGCACCTGCAGGTGCTGGACGTGCGGATGAACCACATCGGAGACCCGGGAGCTGCTTGACGGGGTGGAAAAAGTAGGGCTCCAGCTGAAAGAAATTTGGATGGTTTACAACTTGGTCATACTTGGTCTACTTATATATACTTATATAATCTTATATAATCTTATATACTCAGAGTTTACTGAAAGAGTACATGACTTTTTGTGAGATGTACGCCAATATCAGTGGTTTTGTTGGTCTGCAGTTCTCACCTGTGGCCATGTGGTGTTTGAGATCATCCAGATCCCAACTTCCCAGTCTTCACTTGATGGTAAGATCTGGCAGGAGGCTGTTGTTTAAGCCAACGGCCACTTCTTTCACTGTTACATATTGGCGTGTCATGTTTGATTCTTGGTATTTCTATGTATTTCTTGATATTTCTTGCTACGTATTATAATGATTTATTATAATGATTTATTATAATGATTTATTATAATGTATTATATATGTTTAATTATAATACTATATATATATATATGTATATATATATATATGTATATATATATATATGTATATATATATATCAAGGTAAGTTATGTGAGTCCATATCTGTGACCTGTGGACCTGTCGCATCCGCGAGGTCATTGCACTGGCAGAGGCTCTCAGAACCAATCAGACCTTGCAGCAGCTGTCAGTCCCTTGGTCAGACCTTCAGGCGCCCTGCGCGCCGGGCAAATCCACCCATGTTTGTTTGTTTTGTTTCAAATTTGTGGGGGGTTTTCACGATTTCGAACACAGAAAAAATACTATCAGTCTGGCATCATATATCCCAATAAATCATAATAAATCCAGTCGTACACACTATCACCAACTATCACCAACGATCTCCTAGTTTTCAGCTTTCCAAAGGTTGGGAACAACCAGATCCAACGGCACGGAGCTGAAGCGTTGGCGGAGGTTTTGAAGGAGTCCAGCAGATAGCAAGGTCAATGGATAGGATTTGTTGGATGTATAGATCATGAATGATCATGAGTGGATGTAGATCCAGTAGTTGGAGATTCCAGTGCTTTACCAGGATGAGAACTCTTGTAGCAAACCTCAAATTCCTATGAGAAAATTATCCAAATGATAATTGGTCAATGGGGATTCCCAGCTCATAACCCTTTACAATCATCAACCAACTGGACATACCTGGACTGTTGTCCACGTTGACCATTTATGGCGCTACCAACCAAACCACAACAGCATCGGCAGGAAAACCGAAGCTTGCAGAGCCTCGATGTACGGTTCAATGCTCCTTGGATGTCGTTTCATCACGTGTTTGGTATGGGACCAGATCCGTAACTACTGCGACGAGTGTTGCCGAGAGACTTTGTCTATATAAGGAATCCGGATTTTATCAAGGAATGTGCCGAGACCAAATTCAGCTTTTTTTGTTCAATCTGATGTCAAGCTATGTTCTTCCATGCTCTTTCCATTCTGGATTGGTGGTGGGATTTTGCCAGCCGAGCTTCAAACACATTGGCTCAGGACCTCGGGGACATTGGCACAACTGCTCTCACCAATGTCACTTGATGATCAAACAGGCTGAGAAATGATCTTGAGAATTCTTGAGATACGGGTTTGTCTGAAAATAGGGCAGCCCAGAATTTGATCGGTCAATCAATGTTAGTTATCATTTTCCACTTTAAAATCACTCCATGTTTATCGATTATATGGGTATCCCCATTTTCAGTCGTCATGTCAGAAGCTCATTTAGTTGGGTCAGGCCCTTGCTCAGTTGCTGCACCAAGGCTTTGAAGGAGAACACCACCTTGCAGAACCTGGGAGTTGCCTCAACGGAACTGGGACAGACTCTGGGTGGCACGGGAGGATGGGATGGGCTGGTGGTGCCTGGTTTCCATTCGAATACAGCTGATCCACTGCTTCAATCATTATTTTTCCTATCACATGGCCACAATTGGGGTTATACAGGCTTATAGCCTATAGCCCATTAAGACATCCCCACGTTGTTGAACAGGTCCTGCACCACCGAAGATCCTTTGGGACTATGGAGCAGAGAGCAGATAGAAAATATCTTTTTTTCCCCCCACTGATAATTTACTTCAGTAGTCCACAACAACATTATTCCTGTTAGTATTAAACACCAACTTTTGAAATATAAATATATATATATATATAAACGCTTTTAAAGTGGCATTCAGAACTCCTAACATTTACCATCTTTCCGGTTGTTCCAATAGACAGATAGTTTACAGATGATAAATTATATATATATATATATCACCAAAAACTATTTTTCTCGTAGTGATTATTACGTGATATAATTCCATGAAAATTCTCCAGACCAGGTTTGGCCGTGCCACAGTGTCAGAGTTGTTGGAGAAGCGTTTGCTGGCCCGCAACCATTGCACCAACTTCGCTGTGCCTTGCCGCAGAGGAAGCCTTCACAACTGGTGGTTGATGGGGACATCACTGACTGGAAGCGTCTCAATTATGTGTCATATTATAATATATATATATTATACATATTATATATGTATATTGTTGATTGTATATAGTATACGATATATATTTCTTAATTCTGTATGATATATATATATATACACATAATACATATATATATATACATAATACATATATATATATATAATATAATATAATATTATATTATATTATCTTAAGTATATATGATACAGACACGGGTGTGTCTGAAAATATGCTTCATATATAGATATGCGCCCAAATAGCAATTTTCACAGACGTTTGTTCAGTTTGTTCAAGGGGATTGATATGAAACCACCAACCAAATACACATTTGTACATATATATATATATAGTTATATATATATATATAGTTGTATATATATATGTGTATATATATATTTATATATAGTTGTATATATATATATATATTTGTATTTATATATATATATATTTGTATGTACATATATATATATATATTTGTTTGTATATATATATATTTGTATATATATATATATATATTTGTATATATATATATATATTTGTATGTACATATATATATATATATATTTGTTTGTATATATTGTGAATTCCACATCATTGCAACTGATCTTGAGTGACCAGAACCTTTACCCACAGCCGTTCCGAAACCAGCTCTAATTCCAGGACCTCATGTCCACCTCAGCACCCTGGCTCAGGGAACCATAGGAGAGGTCAGCGGGAGGGATTCACATTTGGTGCTTGTTAGCCATAGACTTGCTACTTTTGGATTTGGTGGACGAGGTCGTCCTTGAAAGCCAGGGGCTTTGATCCGTTGTTGGTAAGAAGGCTGATATCGCCTTTTGCAATCCAGTTTTGGCCGCTCTTCAGAGAGCCTTGGGACTTTTGCATCAGCAGGAGTGTCTCTGGAAAAGAGGCGCGTGCCCGCGCTTTGGTGTCTTGGAGGGAGAAGCTGCCAGGTAGTTGTGGTCCTAGACCAACTACACTGGTAGCGGAGCTCCGTTTGCTCCTACGACGGAAGATCCAGGGGGGATTGAGGAAATTGAAGAATCAGCTGCTCGACCGCAGCGCATGTCGGAATCATCAGAAGGTCAAACCAATGTTTCAAATCAACTAGCAGTGCTTGTGCCGACGTTCGATCCTAGCAAGGATGACCTGCAGATTTACTCTCAGAAGGTGATGCTCCTCTTGGAAGCCTGGCCACCAAACAAGTACACAGAGCTTGCAACTCGATTGATACTGAATTGTAGTGGTTCTGCATTCAAGAAGCTCCAGCTTCACCAATCCGAAGTGACTCAGAATGATCGGAAATCCATACAGAAAATCATAGAACTGCTTGGTGGACACTGGGGGCAAATAGACCTTGAGCAGCGTTATGAATATGCCGAGAAAGCCTTGTACAAATGCCAGCAGAAATCTGATGAGAGTGCTGACAGCTACTTGGCCCGTGCTGACATCATGTGGACTGAGCTGAACAGTCGAAAATTTCAGCTCAGCGATCTTCAAGCATACGTGACCTTGAGGGGTTCTACTTTGACTGCTGAAGATAAGAAACGGGTGTTGCTAGACTCAGATGCTGCAAACAAGGGTTCTCTGACCGTAGAAAAGGTGAGCTCGTCAATTCGCATGCTTGGTGCAGGGTTTTTTCATGAGATGACCGCCGGCCGGCGAACTGGGAAGCTGAAAACCTACGATCAAACAACTCTGATGGCCGAGGATCAGGAAGAGATGGAACCTGATCAGACAGCCTTCTCAGCCGAAACCATGGACGATGATGATGAAGCCATGGTTGTTGCCCTCGCTCAGGAAGGGGATGAAGATGCCTCCCTGGTTGCCGATTTTGAGGCAGCTGCCAGTGAGCTGCTTCAGAACGATGACGAACTGGCAGCAGCATATAATGCTTATGCCGATGCCAGGAGACGTTTGAACGACAAGGTCAGGAACCGTGGATTCTGGCCCATTGGCCAAAAGGGCCGTGGAAAAGGTTTCAACAAAGGTGTCAAAGGCAAGTTCAACAAGGGCCACTCCTCATCGAGGAAATCGTTACAGCAGGGAATCTTAGAGTCAAGGTGCCGATTGTGTGGGAAGATGGGTCATTGGAAGGCCGAATGTCCCAACAAAGGGGACTCCGGCACCGGAAGCCGTGCTCCTCAAGCACCCACCACATTCGTGCAAGTGACGGCAACTCCGACCGATGATCCGGATGCGGGTTTGCCACTGGAATTTCTGCGATTGCCAGCTCATGAAACCACGCTGGATGATACTCAGATTAATTTCAGCCTCATTCACATGGTAGTTCCTCATGAAAGCACCCGTAGTCAGCTTCGTAAGTCTCTTAATCGATGGCAACAGAATCAAAATCAAGCCGCATCCCTGGTCAGGACTGATGATGATGCCGTGCCTCCGTGGAGACATCGACTGAAGCAGAGGGCTCTTGGCCAAGCCTCTATGGAGCCTTCGAAAAGCCTAGTGCCCGCTGATGCCGAGCCAACATGTTTCGCATCACACGGTAGCTATGGGATTGTGGATCTCGGGGCCACCAAAACAGTAATGGGGAGTAAGCTAGTGCCTGAGCTGTTGAACCATTTACATCCGAGCATTCGCCAGCAGGTGACAAGGTGTCCATGTAGCATTACTTTCCGGTTTGGGAATCATGGGGTCCTAGAAAGTAAACAAGCGTTGGTCATCCCCATTCAAGGTTTACTCTTGAAAATTGCCGTAGTACCGGGGTCCACCCCACTGCTGCTGTCCAACACGTTGCTACGAGCCTTGCAGGCCACAGTGGATACTGAAAACCAGGTGTTGCATTCTAGGAAAACTCAACAAAGTTTCCCACTGACTCTGACCAGCAAGGGACTTTTTCTCCTAGATTTGAATGTTCTAGCCCAAAAACAACCGGGCCAGAGCAAGTTTTCCAGATTGGCAGAAACCCATCCTGCCGAGGACATCCAGGTCGAAGCAGTTGAATCCAGTGTCAAAACCAGTTTTGCTGCTCCAAGTCGGTCTCACCAATCTCAGGTAATGTTTCAGCACCGAGAAGCCAGTCCATACATGTCACATGAGGAAATCCAGATGTCCGACAGCACATGCCAGAGCACTGATCGGACCAAGCGATTTCCCTCGAGTTTTCGTGTGATTGACCGTGACCGCCATGACCAGCCTTGCACAGCGCCTCCAGAAGGTCCAAGTGGCGACCACCGAAGCCAAGCCGGATCTCTCTCACATGTCCCTTCAAGAGATGAAGGATCAGAAGATCAGTTTCGGCAAGACCCACCATGGTCGAACGTTTCAAGACATGTGGGACAACGAGCAGAGCTGGACCACATGGTTCGTCCAGAGGTACTCCAACTCCGGCAAGGCCGAGCACATGGTTTTCCTGAAGTTCGTCGAACTGATGGTGGAAAGAGCCGAGCTGACAGGCCAAGGAGTCCCGCTGACCAACCAGAAGGAGGTCGAGAAGACCCGGTCTCTCACCGGAGCTCAGGCCTCTCAGCCGGAAGTGAACCACGGGGCCAGGGCCAAAGCCAAGGCGATGGTGACGGTACCCATCCAGACGTCCCTGTGGGACTACGAAGACGACCCGGAGACCTTCGAGATGCTCTCGGAGACAGCTCCAATCCAGGAGAATGTCAAGATCATGAACTTGGAGAGTCGCATGCAGGGGGTCGAGACTGCGCTGGCAAGTATCCTTCAGCACTTGGAGGCCATGAATCCGACCATGGCCACCCCACAGTGAGAGATCAGGAGTGCCCCAGTCTTGCAGCTCAGACTTTCGCAGGTATGTGAGTGCCGAGTGCTTTGCATCCGAAACCCAACAGGAAACACCAGAAACCAACCATGAGAGAAAACTTTTCAACAAATTTGTTCAGCAATACACCACCGAACTTTCCCAAATTCAGAACAACACCAACAGTCATGGTTACCGTCTAGATGTTCTTGAGATTTTCTGTGGACCGCAAAGCCAACTGACGTCACAGTCGCAGCAGCTCGGGTTGAAAGCCGAACGGTTTGGGCTCCAGCAAGGAGATTTGCATACCATTTCCGGCCGTCATGATTTGTTTCGAATGCTGTGTCAGAAAAAGCCCAAGCATGTCTGGTTCAGCCCAAAATGTGGACCATGGAGTGGATTCTCATGCTTAAATGGCAGCCGATCACTTGAAGCCTGGGATGAATTACAACGGTCTCGTGAAGAGAGCCTCCAGCAGATTGCACTAGGGATTGTTGTATTGCGTTTTCAACGTCAACATGAAAATCACTTTCATTGGGAACAGCCCCGGGGTTCATTAATGTTCAAGTTGCCATATTTGCAGGAAGCCCTTTACTACCTTCTGTCAGTGGACGTGGATCTTTGTGTTGCAGGGGAATTGAAGGATCCTGAGAACGGAAAACTCATTCGGAAATCCCTCGCCATTCTTTCCACATCCCATACCATGGTTCAAGAATTATCAGGTCTTCGATGTCAACATGATCATGTCCATCAGGTCATAGAAGGTCAGGTAAAGTACAAAGGGGAAAATATTTCCAGATCCACCTTCACAGAGAACTATCCTAGAAAGTTTGCACGAAGGGTTGCCAAGATCTTTGGGAAATTTAAGTACCCACGGGAGACACCATACCGGAATGACATGTGGCAAATCCTTGCAACCGAAGAGCACCCGGAAGCCACAGCCGCCAAGCGTCCCAGAAGGGAGAGATATACCTCCATGAAATTGAGCCGTGCCCTGGAAGTGTCCAAACTGCCTTGGGGAAAACGCAGGAAGATGTCGTCCAAGACGTCTCCCATAGATGCCAAACAGCAGTGGTCCACAGTGTTTTCCAGGTTGACTGAAATACTGCCACGGGTAGGAAAATGCAAGGTTCAAGATCCAGAAATCATGGAACTGGTTCAAAATCTCATTGGGGATAAACAAATTGAAGCCATGATAGCCTGCCGGGGTTCC